GGCCAACGGCCGGTGTTGACTGGACTGTTATGTTAGCATTTTATGATCTAAATTGGCAGAAGAATTATGTTGTCAAATCGTCAAAAGATTTAAGACTGAATTAGTGCAAGTGTAATAAGTTTAGAATTTTTTGGTAATTTTTTTAACGGCAATTATAGCTTCAATGCTGCAACCGATATCGACACTTGGGTTTGCATCGCAACCATATTCTTCAACCTGAATTTAGTGCAGTAGAAACTTGGGATTATCAGTGTCCCCATCACCCATTTCCTACATGCTAAAAGGTGTAATTAGCCGTTCAAATTAGATGACCGAAATTGGACTCGACTGGATCATTTTCAGACATTTCATGTGTGCCGACGATTTCGGGGCACGTATAGCTAATTGAACACGCACATCTTTGTGCTTTCCTCTTGATTTGTTACTATATATAACGTGTGACGCGTCATGTGGTGATAGATCGATCTTTTATTTGTCGACGGTCAAGAAGACTTGTCGGAAATTCCGACGAGGCAATAACTGAAGGGTTGAGTCGTCGCGAGCTACCTAATCAATGGTCTAACAAATTTATGGTGAGACCTAAAACTTTGCACGACAATTCACGTGCTGAAACACACTCTAGGGTCAAGTAACTTTTCAATTTAGGAGGTTTTCGACATCGACCTCAAACGTCATCGTCCTCCAATACCTGTTAGGTCCGCAAGCAGTTTGATATAATATGTACTTGAGAAGTTATTTCTATCACCCACCACTGTACATTTCGAGCTGAATTCTAAATTAAGTAACTATACGGCTCATGGTATTCGCAAAAATGGGTGTGAGATTTTGTGGGACCTCCCCAAACTATTCTAAAAGCTTAAGCTGTTAAATGTGAATGTAAATTTGCATATTTTATAGTACAATTACACGATCAAATCTTTGACAAACTCTCTCTTTTTCCACCTTACCGATTTCTTTTTCTATTTCTTTATTAGAAATTAATTGAGTCATGGGGAGTCAATTAGCAAAATATACATTTCATTTTGATCCAATTTGAACGGTTAGACCTTTTCCCAAGTTTTGTTTGCTTTTCAAATTTTGGGGTCACATAATTTAAGTTTTTATTTAAAGAATGATACATAAAACTTTTCAAAACATACAAATATTGACAGGTAAACACGCATGTCAATTTTCACAATTTTTTAACATTAACTTTTTTTTCAATTTTATGTTTTGGAAAAGACGAAAGTTGGCTTTCTAGTTTTTTCCAAATACACCCACGCAAGTGAGCTTGGAGAGCGCAGAATACATTAGACCCGTGCAAATAACTCAAAATTATTATTTCTTAGCCTAAGGCGATGAGTAAAGACGACAAATTCTTAAATTTGTTGCCATGCTACTCTTAGCCTAAGGCAACGAGTTAAGCAACAAAATTTGCACTTTATTGTTTTTGGTTCAAGGGTTAATACTAGAAAAAATCTCAAATTATACTCACTGTGATACAAATATTCTGAAATTTTTTTTGTCACTAAAAACCCTAAATTTGCGCATTATGACACAAATACCCCAAACTTTTTTTTTGTGTCATAAAAAATCCATAACTTATACCAGTGTAATAAATATACCCCAGATGAAACTGAAATAGAGGGTATATATTGGGTTTTTTCGTGACAAAAAAATTGGGGGTATTTATGTCACAGTGAGCAAGTTTAGTATTTTTGGTGACACAAAAAAAAGTTTAGAGTATTTATGTCACAATGGGAGTAGTTTGGTTTTTTTGTTGTGGTATTTGCTCTTGATTCAATCAAAGTTGAGATAATTTTAAACCTACGGCAATGAACATAAGTCTTTGCCACCATGACAGCTGATCATTGTCACTTCCGATTACTGTGCGATTGCCGTCGCCTCCGACCACCGTCAACTTGCTTGCTCGTGGTACGCCTCTTCTTCAGTTCACTACACAGTTTTGCAATTGAGGGTTTTCCTTGGGCACCAAGGCTAATATATTCTTGATACAAAGAGAGCTGACTGTTTTCAGGGAGGGAGAGAGAGAGAGAGGAAGGCGCGCTTAAAGACAATTGAGAGGATGATGATGAGTGGTGATGAAAGAGAGACAGATCGGAGTGACGAGGGCGAGTTACTGCTGGACTTGGAACATAAGTGGCGCAACAACAACCTTTTTGCCATGTTTAAAAAAGCAAATGGAAGTGACATTGCGGGAGTGAGTGAGTAATTAGGCGTCGACTCAAGTGGAAGACCGGGTTTTCGACCATAAGACAACTCGGATCGATCTCTTCGTGCTTTACCTCTCCGTCTTTGTCACCTAGACAGGAGGTCGCGACCTTCGCGTGAGGTTTGCATAGACAACGACGACCACGAGGAAGCCAATTGAGAGGGTAACGGATGCTACGGCAGACTCGGGACACTACATGAAGTGTCGGAAGTGGCGGGTGGAGGCTGAAGCAGCTGGACACGATAGGGAATTTTCAAAGATTTTCAATTCTATCTTGGGTTGCACCAAACATATGATTGGATTTATTACATTCTAGAGAATATTCAGAGGATTTTGAATTTCACCTTATCCTATCGTATTCCAATCCGAATCCGGATGACTAAATGCAACTTTGGGCTTCATTTGTTTCATGGAAAATATTTTCCGGGGAAACATTTTCCTCATTTTTCGACATTTGGTTCATTTAAGAAAATGAGTCAACGAATAATATTTTCCTAACCTAGGAAAATGATTTCCTCTTTAAAAAATTGGAAATCATTTTCCAAATTATGATTAGGCATCAACACCTCAGCCCAAAACATTACATTTGGGCATGGAAACCCAAATGTTGGTTCCTGAGTCCTCGGCATTCATAATCGGGTCTCCGGCACCCAGGCCCTAATCCATTGAGGCTGGGTACGTGACCCCATTGCCTGTGCCCAAGACCTCTGGTGCCCGTGCCCCATGTCCTCGCTGCATGCGCCCGGTCCATTGAAGTTGAGCTTGTCCCCTTGCACCCGAGCCCGGGTCCATGGAGGCCAAGGCTGAGCCCGAAGCCCCAATGCTTGTGCCCAATGCCTCAGCACCTAAGCGCAGATCCATAAAGGCCGAGTGCAGGATCCCGGTACCCAAGCCCGGATCCCCAACACTCGGGCCCGGGTCCCTGATGCTCAAGCTTTGGTTCTTGGCACTCGGGTTGGATCCATAAAGGCTGTGCTTGGGTCCTCGGCACTCGGGCTTGGGTCCGTAGTGCCCGAGCCAAGGTCTATTGAGACTGAGGCGTCGAAACACGGTGTCCGTGCCCGGCCTCGATGCCTTGGTGCACATGCTTGGGTCCATCGAGGTCGTACCCGAGATGCTAGTGCCCATACCCGGTTTCCTATACGTAAGTTACTAGCGCTCGAGTGATGTATGTCTATTTAGAAAAATCAAATTAGATTTTCCATACCAGACGATTTTTCAGTTCATTTTCAGGTTTCAGCTAAATACCGAAAAATATTGTCATTTCCGTGAAAAATGACTTTCTAAAAAACAATTTAAAAAAATTTGACACTTTTCACAAAACAAATGGAGCTTTAGTAAAATATTTTATGCTTGTCATTGTTCATGACATAACATAGCCTATCATTTGTCAATATGCTATCCCAATAAATATACTACGAGGAGCCTATGTTCATGGGAGGAGCCTATGTTCATGGGTGTCAAGTTTACTTGCATGTGGGAAATCACTTCTAGAATATCTATCTTTGTCTAGGTTGTGAGTTTCAAAGGATCGGCCACATACCGTTCTCTCATATTACGTTAGTTTCCTTCCCTCCATATATTTAGCACACACAACTGCTTCAAAAATTGGACTAAACTTGATCAATCGGTTCAATCAGATGTGCCTGGCTTTTTCGGCCTATCTAATCCGGCTCGACCGCACATGCACTGCTTTCCGTACCCGCTTCAATCACCGGCATGGTTTTGAAGGCACTAATCGCGCTAATTAAAGAGCCACGGTCTGTAATCACAGAAAACACTCGCTAAGATGGCTTCAGAAAACAGAGAACTGTGGAACTACATCAACGAGTTCAAATGGAATAGTTTTCACAGAATGAAAAGGAGGATGGTGGCCATTGCCAGTGAGAATAATACAGAACTAAACATTAAATATCAACGAAACAATGCCGTTAAAAATGGGTGTATATAAGGAGGTATTAAATGTGGGGCGGGCGGCTCGCTGAAACCTAACCAGTCACATGAGCAAGAGCCCTAATTTCTTCTCATGCATGCCGCATAATTTATCTTCTGTGCATATCATTAACTTAATATTTGTGTGTGTGTATATATTTGTATATTTATATCGATATACATGGATTTTATTCGGCGCCAATGGTTCCTCAACCAATCACATTTACTTCTACACCTTCATTGAATGCAGGAATTTATGGGGGGGAAGAACTTTCCTGCAAAATTAGGTGAGCACATTTCTCCCTCTCAATAACACTTTTTCTCTCCTTCTCAGTTTTTCAGATCGAGAATCGACATGGAAACCCCACATGAAGAGAAATTCGGACGTCCCGAACAAAATAAGAGAGTACATAACCAATGAAAATTAAGCGAATGGAAGGAAAATAAAAATAGCAGGAGGTGCACGGTTTTTCGACATTTTTCTATATGTATTTTTTCTTTTTTTTGATTTTGGGTCGTACGGACAGAGATTGATGCATGAGAAGATGGAAGAGAGTCCTTTTTGGCGGTTTTACCTTAAATATGTCCAACGACCTCAGTCGGCATTTAATTGCTGCTGTTCTTGCGGGATGGTTTTAGTAATCCAGGTCCATGCAATAATAAACCTCCACGAGAGAGAGAGAGAGAGAGAGAGAGAGAGAGAGAGAGAGAGATGTGAGGAATTCAACACCAGTCTGGCTCCATATTAAATTGAATTGCCTCCCTCTCTGTTTCTCAATCGCTTTTCCTCCTCCTATTTATTACTTCACGTTCCTCTCCTCTTTCCCTCAGTCACCACCGGCTTCCTCCCTCTCTCTCTCTCTGTCTCTCTGTCTCTGTCTCTGTCTCTGTCTCTCCTTCTTCGTTTTCCTCTTCAAGAACGTAGCCTTTTCGTGGTGGAAGCACCGACCTTTCCTCTTGCATTTCGCCTGGTGCTCCTGCTTCACAGTCTGGCTCCGGTCGTGGATCTCCAGGAACGGCACCCACTTGCGCTTTCTCGTTGAATTTCTCTCTCTCTCTCTCTCTCTCTCTCTCTCGCTTCACTTGTTGGCGTCTTTCGTTCTGTTCCTTCCTTTTTTTCTCTCTTTCTGGGTTATCTTGAACCTGCACTGTTCGTCTCTCGGCTTCGCGTTCACAGTTCCTCCTGGCCCCTGACAGCTACGTCCCAACAGAAGCCTCAATAATATTGGCGTAGCGTGAGAGTGCACGGCTTGGTTTTTGCTTTCTCTCTCGCTTGCAACAATTAGTAAAAGAGCGAGAGAGATTGTGCGAGAGTGAGTGAGTGCGGAGGGTGGTTCAAGTGGTGTGGGACGGTGCATTAAACATCCCTGTGCGGTTGGTGCGGTCACGCGCTCTGAGGCCCGGATCACATGGATTTATCGGCGGCTTTGATTTTCCTATCGGCGGTCGTGGCGTATCTGCTGTGGTTCAAGTTCATCACCGCGTCCCTGAGCGGTCCGCGAGTCTGGCCCCTATTGGGTAGCCTCCCGGGCCTCATCAGGAATGCAGGCTGCATGCACGACTGGATCGCCGACAACCTCCGGGCCGCCGGCGGGACGTACCAGACGTGCATCATCCCCATCCCCCTCCTGGCGCGGAAGCAGGGCCTGGTGACGGTCACGTGCGATCCCAAGAACCTGGAGCACGTCCTCAAGGCCCGGTTCGACAATTACCCGAAGGGCCCCACGTGGCAGGCCGTGTTCCACGACCTGTTGGGCGACGGGATCTTCAACTCCGATGGCGACACATGGAAGAACCAGCGCAAGACCGCTGCGCTTGAGTTCACCACCAGGACGCTCCGCCAGGCCATGTCCCGGTGGGTGAGCCGGGCCATCAAGCACCGGTTCTGCCCCATCCTGAAGGAAGCTCAGCTTGAGGGCAGGTCGGTCGATCTCCAGGACCTAATGCTTCGGCTCACCTTCGACAACATATGCGGCTTGACCTTCGGCAAGGACCCGCAGACGCTGTCCCCTGGCCTCCCCGAGAATGGCTTCGCGACCTCCTTCGACCGTGCCACCGAGGCCACGCTGCAGCGGTTCATCCTGCCCGAGACCATATGGAAGTTCAAGAAGTGGCTCGGGCTTGGGATGGAGGTCAGCCTGAGCCGCAGCCTGGAGCACATCGATGCCTATTTGTCCGACATCATCAGCACCCGCAAGCAAGAGCTGGCGAGTCAGCAACAGGTCAGCAGCGGCAGCGGGCCCGAGCACGACGACCTGTTGTCCAGGTTCATGAAGAAAAAGGAGTCCTATTCGGACAAGTTCCTCCAGCACGTGGCACTCAATTTCATCCTAGCTGGGCGGGACACGTCATCGGTCGCGCTAAGCTGGTTCTTCTGGTTGGTCAGTCGGAACCCGAGAGTGGAAGAGAAGATCCTCATCGAAATCTGCACAGTCCTGCTGGACACACGTGGCAGCAACCCCGCCAAGTGGGCGGAGGAGCCGCTCGTGTTCGAGGAAGTCGATCGGCTGATTTATCTTAAGGCAGCACTGTCAGAAACCTTAAGGCTCTATCCGTCGGTGCCGGAGGACTCGAAGCATGTCGTTGCTGACGATGTCCTGCCAAGCGGGGTATTTGTGCCGGCGGGCTCATCGATAACGTACTCAATATACTCAATTGGACGGATGGAGTTCATCTGGGGACCCGATTGTCTCGAATTCAAGCCCGAGAGGTGGTTGTCTTCCGATGGCAAGAGGACTGAATTGCAAGACTCTTACAAATTTGTGTCGTTCAATGCAGGACCGAGGCTTTGCCTTGGGAAGGATTTGGCCTATCTGCAGATGAAGTCGGTGGTGGCAGCTGTATTGCTGCGCCACCAGCTAACGGTCGCGCCTGGTCACCGGGTCGAGCAAAAGATGTCGTTGACATTGTTCATGAAGTACGGCCTAAAAATGAACGTCCACCAGAGAGACCTGAGGCCTATCTTGGCAAAGATAACCAAGAACGATGATTGGTGTGGGAAAGCTGTTCTGAGCAATGGGCATTATCAGGCGGCAGGCGAGGTCAAGATGGTCAACGGGGTAGCTTAATCCATGGCATTCTTTTTGTGGTTTTTGGCTCATGCATCTGGGAATGCAAGTGCAAATGACCATGAAGTGTCTCATATGATTGTCTTTTGTTGATGTCTTTCATAAATAGCAGATGGCTAGATCTGTGCCGTCATTACTTGAACAAATAAAGCTGGTTCACCATGTGGTTATACGAGGATATGAAGGTTGATGATGGGATGATGATCTCGTATCTCGACAAAATTTCGGATAGTTTAATAATACTGTTGGAAGCTGAATCCATGGCGGAAGCAGAAGGATGGTTTGGTTTTGCAGAAACTACTTTTCAGAACTCCGTAGGCTGAAGAAGAGCGCGGAGCGAAGATCCATTCTTGATACTCAAAATCATCTGTGTATGAGATAAGTAGTTGATGTTATTCAAACTTAGCCTGATCTGTACTTTTTATAATCAGAAAATCAGTGTATGTGTTGCCTCAAGCAATAATTTAACATGTTTAGAATATTTATACTCAACTTTTCTATTTCGCGAAGTTGAATTTTACATTGGATTAGCAAAATTCTCTAGTGCGAATATTTAGTTCTTGTCCAATATATATATAGTTAGTTAGTTAGTTCCCTAGGGGAAAATTTCAGGTGCAAAAGCTACCCATTTGATGTAATCTGGTGTTGTTTATTCAGGCAAGTCCTGGTCTAATATGTGTTTTTGATCCTTCACCACGATGGATATGAAGGAAAATTTGCTGCGTCAAGGATCAAAATCAGCAGATATCGCCTGGCATTTGGAAGAAATGTGAATCCAGACTGACGTCTGCAAAAAGAGTTCATGAATTTTGGCTCATAGCAGGACACATCTTTGTCAACATACGACGTACGTCGGAGAGAATCTAGTGGCTCAACTTCTGCTATTATTTTGGGAGGAAATTGGGTTCACAGGATTTGAGGGAGCTATCCTAGTATCTGCCTTTTCTGGGTACCATCAATGTCTTTTGGTTCACAAGCTCCTGTGTTGCAGACTCCGGTGTTGCCTTTATTCAGGCAAGTCCTGGTCTGTGTTTTTGATCTTTAACCATGATGGATCTGAACGAAAATTTGCTGCGTCAAGGATCAAAATCAGCAGATATCGCCTGGCATTCAGAGGAAAAGTGAATCCTACCTAATGTCTGCAAAAAGAGTTCTGAATTTTGGCTCATAGCAGGGCACATCTTTGTCAACATATGCTGTCAGACAGAATTTAGCGGCTCAGCTTCTGCAATAATTTTATGAGGAAATTGGATTCGCAGAATTTGAGGGAGGTATCCTAGTATCTGCCTTTTCTGGGCACTGTCTTTGGCTTCACAAGCTCCTGTGTTGAAGACTCACCTGGTCCATTTTTGGCAGCCAGACATCTTCTCTGATCTGTCTCACTCTCTACAAAAACATTTATTGATTCTTGATCTGTTTGTGCTTACTCTGTGATTTTTGTGCAGTATGTTAATGGACGCTAAAGAGTAGAAAAGAGTAGACACAGAATCAAAATGATGTTGGCACAGAGTTTTGGTCAAACAAATTGCTTCTCAATTCCTTAAGGAAGAAAAACTTAAGAATACATAAGATGCAAGCTGAAAGAAAGGACAGACTTTCTCACAAAGTTGCCAGTATTCTCTCTCTCTCTCTCACACACACACACACACACACACACACACACACACACATACACACACACACACAGTTTCGCTAATCTTTTTTGTTTTTTCCTTTTCAAGTTTGAAGGATGATATTAGACATTAGATGAATATATGCGTTCTTTACAAGCATCGACTGCAAAGGGCGATCTCTAATTAGACTGACGTTCACGAATCTACCAACCAGTCTGCGAAAAGGCAATGGATGATTAAGTAGGTGCACTATCCACTCTAATGAAGTATTAGCGCTTAAGCTACTTGAGAAGATGGTGACGAACTCTAAATGATCAGGTAAACATGTTGTCCAAACCTTAACTCACACGTTCCATAGACTCGTTACAAGACCGACAAACACGAGAAAGCAGAGCACAGCCCGGAGTATGAATTGATTTCTTCTTCGGCTCATATTTATTTTGCAGGAAAAGGTAAAAAAAAACCATAGGCTTAAGAAACGACATAGGCATCTAGCCATTCGACAAGATGATCGTGAATGGCTTAAAATATTGATTGGGGTCAAGAAGCAGAATTAGTTTATAAAGCTGGTAGAAATCCCTCCATAAATTGCTCTGTTGACATTAGTAAATAGTTTAACGTCACTCTCAACATTTTCGTGCAAGAAACAGTCCACCATCATCATGGGCTTGCGCAGCTGCAAAATAGTCACTTCATAAGTTGGAGGTTGGTTCAAGTAATAGAGGACCAGAATTCTTCAGTGTGATACAATTGTAAGGTTCTGAGAACACAAAAAAGAACAGGGCAAATCTCAGTGAGTCCTCTGGATGATTAGATATCTTCTTGTGCTTTCAGACCGTGCCAATTTCAACAGCTTGATGGAGGAAAGGGATTTCCTATTTGAGAACGGTGGAGTTCTTGTATCTCCTTATGAGAATGATAATCATTGAAAGTTGAAATTGAAAGGCTCTTCTGATCTACTCTCTTATTGATGTCACCGATAGAATTTGTTTTGTCTCGAGACTCTTAATCATTGCTAACGTACAGAACAATTGGTATGGCTCAATCGAGTCTGTTCGAGATATGCTTTCTTTGAATCTTCATATTTCTCAAAATTGTACATGTATCTCTCCATTAATTGTGCATTTCCCTGATGGATTATAATTGATATTATCTTATCTTGTTACCTTGCATATTTCTCATGCACCTGTCATTATGACACAAAGAAACAAAAATCACACAATTCTCTCTTCTGCCTTATTATTATTATATGAGTCTAAGATGAGATAAGCTAGTTTGAAGTGGGATTGGCTGGCAGAGTATGAGTTTAAACAAGGTCGGGATGGATCTAAAGCGTTGTGAATGGAAAATCTATGGGATTACATTTAACTGTTCTAAAAGCTTCAATTGTTGGATGAAGATTTGGATTAATATTTATATATATAACACTCTTTCTCATGTATAGATTGGATTTTTGCCTAAGACAAAAGCGTGGAATTATATAATAGAGGAGGCAAATGAGGGCAGAAATTTTTTTAAGGGACAATAACCAATTGATCTAAATATTTAAGTCGTCAGATGAACGTGCGATTTAATTTTTAAATACTTTAAAAGTGAGGTGACAAAACGGAAGTTTCGAGACAAAATCAAACGCAGGGGCTTTAAAGAATTCATGTAGCTTCCCATGTAGTGGAACAATACTTGTTATCAACTGATTGGTTCGCTTCACCATGATAATAGTGGTGGATAATAGTGGTGTGCATCATATAAGAATTTGCCCCCCACTTACTACCGTAGCTTGGAAGGTTTTTCGTGTCATTATAACAGAGATTTCAGTTAACATGCTGCAGCTATACTTGTAGATTTTCTTGTTCTAAACAATGAAATTTGCATTACAACCATACAACGGAAGAACAAAATCTTCCAGAATGATAAAGACCAGCAGGCATTGCCTAAAGAAAGTTGTCATAAGAAAATTCGGCTTCTAATGATTTTGAACTACTGATGGAAACCACTCTTTTCACTTCATTAGAAATGCCCTCGGCATAATGATTCAAGACCATGTTTTTTACAGAGGAGATGAAGAAAGGATGAGATAGAACCTGCTCCCAAAATCTAGTCTTCACATTCACTTTCCCTAGCAAGAACCAGATTGTCTATATGTTCTTTCGCAGAACAATTTCTTTTCAGATATTTTATTGCTACTGTTTCTACGCTGTATTTCCCTGTTAGCAACTCCGTATTCCATAATTCCATGCTATCAGTTGAAAAAATTTGGCGTCTACAGAAGTATTAATATGTACGGATAATTGTCAAGAAGTATAGGCAATGGGTACTACTGCAGCATGCAGCATCCACAAACAGTAATGCAATCATTCCACTCTCCTATCTCAACGAGCTATGTTCAGAGAAATTTGAGCACGACGATTGACCTTCCAACATATTGAACTATGCTCATCTCCATGAAGCTAACAGTATATGGCTCTTCATATCTTGTTCATCAGAAGCAAGAAACAACCTGGTTCTCTTGACTCATAAAGATTATTATGCAATGTGTCCAAGCGGAACCTTACAATTTGGAGTTGATGAGGCTTATGCTGAAATCCCGTAGTTTCTTTGCCAGTTCTGCATCTTGCGCAAGAGAGCTTGCTTTGGCTTTATTACTGTCCATAAAGTATTCTCCGCTAACCCCCTTCACTTGTGGGTGCAGAGCCACATAGCATGTGGTTGCTGCTCCCTGCATCCAAATTTTTTAGCAACCAAATTCAGTGAGTAACCCGAATTAAAGTGCTCATATGCAAGGAAATTTTTTTGCGCTGACAGCAGACATGCAGAAATGGACATACCTGTTGAACATTTTTTAGGAACAATTTTCCAAGAGAGCTTGCCAGTGCTGCATAAGCCAGAGGAAAGAAAGCATCGATAAGAATAAGAAGGTTTAAAATGGATGGAATGGCAAGAAATTTGATCAAGTTATAATACCTGAAAATTAACATCTCAAAAAGCAAAATCCGTCTGCTCAATTGAGAAGAAGCCTCTCGTTTAAGTCATTGCATATTACAAAGTTTGCACATGGCACAAAATGTTATCATGATGCCAAGACCCCCTTCTTAGCCATGGCATCAACAATGCTACTTGATCTAAATGCAGACTTACCATTGAGAATGCCATGGTGGCGAAGAAGATTGGTTGCTATAGCTCCAGGATGAAGTGAATTAGCAGTTATCTGCACCCCTTCTTCCTGTTTGATTAAGACAAATTTAAATTACAGCTTAATATTCACGAATACAAGAGGGAATGGGCCATCGAAATTGACACTGAGCAAGAGAAATCTCAAGAAAATATACAGGGTGTCCCCGTAAGTGGGGCTCCTGTATTGAAGGGTCTAAGGAGGTTTGATATACGGACCACCAAAAGCTATAGCAGAAAACAAACAGAATCAGAGTCATGTAACATGTATGGTCACTTGAAAATTTATTGATAGAGTCTCCAGGATAAGAAAAACAAAGACAAGCATTCTTGTTATGCAAATGCGGTTTAGAAGAATGGAACATATAAATTTGAACCTTACCTTTAAGTGCCTTGCAAGCTCGTTCGCATGTAATATATTAGCCAGCTTCGACTGTCCATAGGCTTGTATAGTATTGTACCTGCAATTAGCAGGTACTTGTAAGACATCAACAAAATCTGATTCGAACAAAATGGATGCACCAGACTGAAAAATGACAGCTATAGCATGAAAATAGCAAACGATGAATCATCCTCAAGACAGAACTGTCTGTCTGTTCTTACTCTGATTTGCTATTTATTTTGTCAAAACGAATTCCTTCTCGGTATGCAAAGCGGTGAACCTCTGAGGACACAATAACTATCCTTCCTTCTGTATTGCTTTCCTGTGACGTTTTCTTCATAGTCTCTAACAAAAGATTTGTCAGAAGAAAATGACCTGCAAACATATTTCGGGAGAAGGTAAGCTGTATGACTCACACACAACTTTGCAAAGACTGAAATAAGGACTGTTGTATAAGTTCCTCAACATTATCAAAAACTGAAAAAATCAATGGTGATGTAATCAATGGTCAATCGATCCCGAGTTCGAGACATGATGCTTTGAAAAAATTACTCATATAGTATAACACAAGAGGACTTCGGTGATAGAAATTCCTGAGTGAAACCTATATCGGACATACCTATATGGTTTGTTGCAAAGTGTAGTTCTATGTTGTCTGGGGAAATCGTGAAGGCACATGCCATTACCCCTGCATTATTACTTCCAGAGAGAAGAAACATTATCATACTGCATTCCTAACACGTAATCCAACAAGTAATCAACCCAAGCTCAAATCATCACGAGCATGTGCATGCTTATTCGTAAAAATGTGAAATTGAAAAGCTCTCAGCATTTGACTCCTCATTCAGCGTTTTCTAGATGGCAGTCGAGAAAAATTAAGTGACAGTCTTTTGTATGTTCAGGGCCATAACAAATTCTGGTGAAATAATTAAGATTTCTTACATAAGGAGATTCAAGGGAAGAGCGGATGCTTGATAATCTGACGCAAATTTCCTAACAGATGCCATAGAGCTGAGATCCAACTCCATCACATCAATCCTAGCAGATGGGAGTTCCTTTAGTATAGCTTCTTTGACACTCCTACCGGCATCCACGTTCCTCACGGCCATAACGACATGGACTCCACGTAAAGCAAGAACTCTTGCAGTGTCCATGCCAATACCACTAGAGGCACCTGAAAGCACAGCGATCCTCTGTAAAATTGAAGTAACTAGAAGGAACAGAGATTAGCCTCTCAAGTCAGATCGACACAGGGGTACGAAGGTCATTATGAATTGACAGTCAATACTCGCTTCAGACAGGAAAAAAGCTTATACCCTGAAAGCCATTTGAAAAAAGGTCATTATGAATGCTTCGACGTTTCAACAAGTGATCTAAGAATTGAGAATGAAATGATTGGTCTATTTGGAAAAAATTACAGCATAACTGAAACACGTCGATCAGACAATTACCGAAAATTTCATTTTCGTCGCCAGCTTAGATATCAAGCTATGAAGCAAGACCATCTCAAATCAACCCTAATGCAACCAATCATAATTTTCTCCTATATCATCTGCATCCACCAGTTTACAACATCTCGTCCCATGCTAGACAGCAGGTCGTATTATTCTAGTAACATTCCCCATCGCATTCCACAAGCAGCAATCCACAGACAGCCAATTCTAAACTTAGTTTAGTCCCTGTAACAAAAAAACTGATTTCTCTGCAAAGATGACAGGCGAAGTCAAGAGTTTCCCAATACCAGTAATTCGACATAAACCCTCTTAAGGAAGCATAACTCAGATTCTTTGAAAGTGTTAAAGTTTGCTTTTTCATACGATCATCTTCCTCAAGAAAGGGAACAAGCTAAAGTAGGGGGAAAAGCACAGATATTATTATAACAAGACCTGTGACAATGGCAGTGAAACCAGTTCCATCGATTCCCTGAGTTACTTCTTCAGCTGTAGAGCGAGCGGAGTATCCAGAAGGCCCTTTCCACCCAAAAATCCACATCTCTTTGTTTTTTCTTGTTTTTTTGGCTCGTCCCCTCGTAATTGCAGATTCAAGACAATTACACACGGTTATTAGCAAAAATTAAGGCAAAATAGAGTTACTTCACAGACGGAGGCAACGTTTGGGAATCAGAAACAGGAGAAGAGTGTCATCATCATCCTCTGGAAATTGTGGAGTCCCTGGGCATGAGTAACATTGTTTGACTTAAAAGCGGCAACGACCAAATCAAGAATGGTTTTGTTCTGGAGTGGGCCCACGATTGTTTTATTTTATTTTATTTATTTTTTGAGCAAAACAGTTGTTTTAGTTAGACGGAGACATTTGATATTTTTTCTCCTTGGAACGACGATGACCCTTAATGAGAAATGCCAAAAAGGTACCTGTTTGCATATGAGATGCAACCGTGAATTTGACATAAAGATTGGTCCGACTCAATTCGCACTAAGTTAGAAAGGTCACGATGAGTGAAATTACTATTAACAAAATATAATTCAATATAAAATAAAACTTTTATTGCAATTCTCTATTCTATTTTGACGTTCGAATGTGATATGGGGATAATTACCAATTCACTACTAAACCTACTATACGGATGGTAATTCCGTTTTAAACCTTTTAATTTTGCTAATGTAATTCTAAACCATTATACGTAATTACAATGTAATCTTTTCAGCTAATTTTGCTAATGACCTTATTTTTAGTATACTTTCTAATGCTCTTGTAACTTCTTACATGCTTTGTGTAGAAGTGGCTCGATAGATGAAAATGTTACCAAATTTTTTTTAGTGAATTAGGCCTTTTCAAGTGTTTCCCGCCGTGCAGCAGCATCTCCTTTTAAGTTTCTATGCATGCTTTCCTTCTGGCACATCCGTTGTCCCGGAAAAATTCTCCACTTCATAGGTCCAGTCTAAGAACACTTCTCCTACATTGAAGTCGCCTTAAAAATTTTGGGATATTCTTCTCCTGTGCCATAGCTTCTTCTTGCATCCCTGAAGAACTCTTCAAATTCAATCTCGACCTTCACTATCATCACCGTGGGAACGTTGTCTCTGCTGATTTGCAGCACCCGGTTGATCGATACGTTGGCCACGAGCATAGTCTCCAGCTTGGTTGTTTCTATCTTTTTCGCGAACCCTGTTGAGTGTCGATGCCCGAAGCCAAGTTGGTCAGGATTTTGTGGATTGTTTTCACAGGTTAATACTTCCCTCTTGTTTCTGCAACGCTGCCCAAAGGGCCTGCGCCCCACGATCACCGTTAGTTCTGCCACCACCAGTTCTTGCCTTTCGTCAAATCGCTAGCGAGGCTTTGATACCACTTGACGCAGAACAAAAGTGGAGGTGGACTAGAATTTATCTAGCAAAGGACTTGGGCTCTCAAGGAATAGAAAATCTGGCACAAAAACAAGCATCAACTAGCTCATGGAAGTCATTGAAAGTGACACCACGAAATAACCTGGTTTTCTGACAAAAGCTAATTTCAACAACTAGAAAAAGACAGCCTTATTGAACTCGGAACAATTACGCTTCGGTCGGGCGTAGGCTGAGATCCCGTAGTTTCTTTGCCAGTTATGCATATGGAGCAAAAGAGCTTGGTCTGGCTTTATTGCTGTCCACAAAGAACACATCGCCGACTTCCTTAATTTGCAGGTGCAGGGCCACAGAGGAAGTCATTGCAGCTCCCCGAACCCATTCTGATTAGTTGGTAACACGTTCCATCAAGACAATTTCCCCTCAAAAACAGAGGGCTTCATGTTCTATGAATTTTTTTTCCCTAAAGTTAGATTATCTCTATATCAATTCCCCAAGGCGATTAGTTGGTAACCTGTGCAGAATTCTAAACAGGAATTTCCCCAAGGCTAATAGCAATTCTTGCATAAGCCGGAGAAGTGGTAGTACTAGTCTCAAAAGAAGAAAGACAGCTTCAAAATGATTGGAACACAGAAGAAATTTCATCAATTTATGGATTGTTGATGTTAACTATGTCGAAGAGCGAAATCTAAATGTGCTTTCACAGACGAATATGTTTTCCAGATATTTTAGTACAATTTCCACACCAATTTTCCCTTTAAGCAACTTGGTTTTCTGTGATTCCCTCATGCTATCGGTGGGAAGACTGTCATTACAAATGTCAAGAACTAAGGACACTATTCAAGAAGTAACAGTATAGACTACTACCGTCTGCAGCATCCATGAACAGTATTACGCTCATTCCATCATCTCCTATTTCACCAACGATCTGTTCAGGTAAATTCAGACAATGAGTGTAGACTTTACAGCATGTTTGACTCAAATGCTCATCTCAGTGTAGTTAACAATATATAGCTTCTTAATATCTAGTTCAGAAACGACTTGTTTCTGTGGACTAAAAGAATAACAGACAATCTTTTCAAGCAGAACCGTACTATTTAGGATCAGTCAGGCTTATGCTGAAATCCCAAAGTTTCTTTCCCAGTTCTGCATCTTGCGCGAGAGAACTTGCTTTGGCTTTATTACTATCCATGAAGTATTCGCCACTAATCCCTTTCACTTGTGGGTGCAGAGCCACATAGCATGTAGTTGCCGCTCCCTGCATTCATTTTTATTAAGCAACCAAATTCAGTGAGTAACACGGTTTAAAGGACTCAGTCAAGGAAATTTTGTCAGGCTGACTGCAGATGTAAGCAGAAATTGGCATACCTGTGCAACATTTTTTAGGAAGTATTTTCCAAGAGTAGCAAGTACTGCATAAGCCAGAGGAAAGAAAGCATCGATTAGAATTAAGAAGATTTAAAATGGATGGAACTGCAAGTAATTTGACCAAGTTCTGAAAGTCTAATATCTCGAAAAGCAAACTTTGTCTGCTCAATTGAGAACAAGCCTTTTGTTTAAGCCCTTCCTTTGACAAGTTTGCACGTGGCACAAAATTTTATCATGATGCCATGACCCATTTCTTAGCCATTGCATCAATCAATAATGCTACACGCCCTACATGCAGACTTACCATTGAGAATGCTATGGTGGCGAACAAGATTGGTCGCTGCTATAGATCCAGGATGAAGTGAATTAGCAGTTATCTGCACCCCTTCTTCCTGTTCGATTAAGAAAAATTCAATTTAGAGCTAATTCATGAATACAAGAGGGAATGGGCCATGGAAATTGACACTGAGAAAGAGAAATCTCAAGAAATAAAAGGGGCTCCCAGTGCATGGGGCTCCCATATTGAAGGGTCTAAAGAGGGGTAGATATAAGGAACAGAAAACGCTATAGCATTTAACAACCAGAATCAGAGTCATGTAACATGTATGCTCGCTAAAATTTAACGATAGTCTCCAGGACGAGAAAAAACAAAGACAAGCATTCTTGTTATGCAAATGCGAGTTAGAAGAATAGAACATATAAATTTGAACCTTACCTTTAAGCGCCTTGCAAGCTCGTTAGCATGTAATATGTTTGCGAGCTTCGACTGTCCATAGGCTTGTATAGTATTGTACCTTCAGTTAGCATGTACTTGTAAGACATCAACAAAATCGAACTGCGCCAGACTGAAAAATGACTGCTATAGCCTGAAAACAGAAGGAAACAAAGAATCATCCTTCAGACAGAACTGTCTGTTCTTACTCTGATTCACTATTTATTTTGTCAAAACGAATTCCTTCTCGGTATGCAAAGCGGTGACCCTCTGAGGACACAATAACTATCCTTCCTTCTGCATTGCTTTCCTGTGACGTTTTCTTCATTGTCTCCAACAAAAGATTTGTCAGAAGAAAATGACCTGGAAAAACATTTCAGGAGAAGGTAAGCAATATGACTCACACACAACTTTGCAAAGACTGAAGTAACAACGATTGTTATACAAGTTCCTCAACAGTATCAAAAACTATAAAAATCAATAATAATGTAAGTTAATCAATTGATTTATAGTTCGATCCAGAGTTCGCGAATTGATTCTTTGAAAAAATAACTCGTATAATCTAATAAAAGATGATGTCGGTCATGGAAATTTGTGAGTGAAACCTATATAGGACATACCTATATGGTTTGTTGCAAACTGTAGTTCTATGTTGTCTTGGGAAAGCGTGAAGGGACATGCCATTACCCCTGCATTATTACTTCCAAATAGAAGGAAAATTATCATACTGCATTCCTAACATGTAATCCAACAAGTGCTCAACTCAAGCTCAGATCATCAGGAGCATGTGCACGCTCAAATTTGTATAAGTGTGAAATTGAAAAGCGACTCCTCATTCAGCATTTGCTTGATGGTAGTCAAGAGAAATTAAGTGACAATTTTTTGAATGTTTAGGGCCATAACACATTTTGGTGAGATGATTAAGATTTCTTACATAAGGAGATTCAAGGGAAGAGCGGATGCTTGATAATCCAACGTGAATTTCCTAACAGATTCCATAGAGCTGAGATCCAACTCCATCACATCAATCTTAGCAGATGGGAGTTCCTTAAGTATAGCTTCTTTGACACTCCTACCAGCATCCATGTTCCTCACGGCCATAACGACATGGACTCTACGTAAAGCAAGAACTCTTGTAGTGTCCACGCCAATACCACTAGAGGCACCTGAAAGCATAGCGATCCTCTGTAAAATTGAAGTAACTAGAAGGAATAGAGATTAGCATCTCAAGTCAGATCGACACAGGGGTATGAAGGTTGTCATGAATTGACGGTCAATACTCGCTTCAGACAGGAAAAAAGCTTATACCCTGAAAGCCATTTGAGAAGTCGGTGTCATCAACATGTACATCAAGGAATTTACCCTACCAGACCCGCAAACACAAAATGACATAATCTTCAATTAAAATATTTCAATAAGTGGAACGCCTGGACAATTCAACACGTGATCTAGTAATTGAGAATGAAATGATTGGTCTATTTGGGAAAAGTAACAGCATAACCAAAACACGTTTATCAGACAATTACCGGAAATTTCATTTTCGTCGCCAGCTTAGATATCAAGCTATGAAGCAAGACCATCTCAAATCAACCCTAATGCAACCGATCATACTTTTTCTCCTATATCATCTGCATCCACCAGTTTACAACATCTCAACCCATGCTAGACAACGGATGGTATTATCCTAATAACATTCCCCACCGCATTCCACAAGCAGCAATCCACAGACAGCCAATTCTAAACACAGTTTAGCCCCTCTAGCAAAACATTGATTTCTCTGCAAAGATGGCAGGCGAAGTCAAGAGTTTCCCAGTACCAGTAATTCGACATAAACCCTTTTAAGGAAGCACGATTGAGATTCTTTGAAAGTGCTAAAGTTTGCATTTTTTATACGATCATCTTCCTCAAGAAAGGGAATAAGCTAAAGAAGGGAGAAAAGCGCAGATATGATTATAACAAGACCTGTGACAATGGCAGTGAAACCAGTTCCATCGATTCCCTGAGTGACTTCTTCAGCCGTAGAGCGAGCAGAGAATCCAGAAGGTCCTTTCCACCCGAAGATCCACATCTTTTTCTCTTTTCTTGTTCTCGTTCTTCCCCTCTCAAATTGCAGATTCAAGACACCCCCCACAACACAACAGTAAATAGCGAGGATTAAGGCAAAAAGAAAGAGTTACTTCGCAGACAGAGGCAAATCTATATCAGTGGAAAAAAGGAGGAAAAGATGGGAATCAAGAAACAGAGAAGAGTGTGGTGTCATCCTCTCTGTCCTCTCTGGAAACCGTAGCATCTCCGGGGCAGGAGCAACATTATTTGACGAAAAATGGGCAACATCCCAATCAAGAATATGCCGTTCTCAAGGGGCCCACGATCGTTTCGTTGGATGCAGAAACCATGAAAGTGATATTTTTCCTCGGAATGACGACGGCCCTTGATGAGGAAATGCCGAAGTTGTACGTGTTCATCTGTGGGATGCATTGTAATGTGATGTTCGGGTACGACGTGGCCCACGCGCACTCATCTTCTTTGTTCTTTGTAATAAAACGGGCAAATGCTATTTGAGATTACATATTAAAGATTCGAGAATGGAAAACTCTAGCTTTGTCACCGGTGCACGTGTGTGGTGGCTAGCACGTGTCGCCCCCAGGGTTTACCTCCCGACTGTCGGCCGTGCGGGGTTCCCTGGGTTACCAAAAAAAAAAAAAAACTCTAGCTATATCACTTAACTTGAATGGGCTAAGACCTTCAGGCGGGTATAGAATGATCTATAGTTAATGCCATAATTTGCTAACGATCGGCAATCCGGTCGCCTTCTCTATACAAATGCTTCGCTCAAATAAAGCCGATTTTATTCGAAGAGGTTTTGTATATCCTTACAAATTAACTTATCGCTGTGAGATTTTCTAATTGTCTTATGAGATAATCTTCTCATATGCCATACCTCCTTTTTGCCTAATAGCGAGAAGACTTGTGTCATGGGTCGATAATTTGGGAACGACCCGTGCGGCAACTTAGGCTTCTTTGAATCGTTGCAATGCCTACCTTGAATCGTAAGCTTCCTTGGATTGTTCGAGGGTTCGCCTTCTCGTTTCTCTCCCCCTCTCCGAGGTTTTACAGTGGAAGAAGAAGTGGAAGATGATGAAAATGACGTGAGCGTCGAGGCCCATTGAAAGTTTTCTTCAAAGCCCATGCTTGTTGGGCCTGGACTCTTTTAGATCCGACCCGAATTGTTCGGGTCGGGTTCCGCTTCGTCTTCCTCGACGATTCACTTTCAGTTTCAGTCGAAGCAGAGCAGCTCTGGCGGCGAAAACAAAACCCTACAGAGAAAAGCTAGAAATGAGTTCGCTCTCTTCCATGAATCGCCATGCTCCCTCCTTGATCTCCAAGATCTTCGATTCGAACCAGAGGCTCGCATCTTCTTCGTCTCCTCTTCTTCAACGTCGTCAAGGTCTCACCACGATCTCGCATTCCTCAGGCAAGTGGCTTTTCTTTCCCCTTTTTCTTATTTTTGGGTTGGTCCGGGGTGCTTGATTTGCGAGAATCACTACGGAAGCACCTCGAACTAGTGCTGCTTGATAAGGAGCCTTGGTTTGCCTTGTTCAAAATCGTTGCTTGACACTTCGAATTTGGATTTTTCGTTTGCCAATTAGCTGCTGCAATTCGAAACTGTAGTGGGACTTTGAGAATAATTGGATTCTTGGTTCATGTTGGATTTCATCGTGCTTCTTCATGCTTTGCGCGCACGTTTTGCTGAATTTGCCATCCACTGATCGTTATGTATTCGAATGTTTAGGTTTGTATCTCCATTTCGTCATTTTGCGCCGATCATTTGGAGAAAAATTGCTGAATGTTGTTTGTGACTAGAGATATCGACAAGTTTATGTTTGGAGGCCATGGTAATTAGGCAAGGAATGATGGACCCTTTTCATTTTAGCAGGATCTGCCCAGACAGGTGAAGTCATTTCTCCACGTATGAATGATGTTTCGATGATAAAGATGTATGGAAGTGCATGTCAAGCTTCCAAAGTTTATAAGTTCAATAATTTAAGGACGCGTATGGTTAATCCTTCCCATTTGAGCTTGACGAGATTCATCCACACTTCAACTCAAAAGGATGTTGAGAACAGCGGTGGCCCCAGGATCATGGATTATGTTAGGGGGATCATAGAGGAAGAAGGGAAAGCCCTTGGTGGTTTTCAATTTTCTCGCTACAACATGGAGCAAGATGTCGATTTCGTCCACATAAAGCTTATGCGCAACAATACGTTTGTTACCGTGACCGATTCCAAAGGTAACAAGAAGATTGGCGCATCGGCTGGGTGTTTGCCGGAAATGAAGGGAGGCCCGAAGCTATCTAGATATGCGGCTGAGGCGACTGCTGAACACGTGGGGCGACTGTCCAGGAGTTTGGGGTTGAAGTCTGTTGTGATGAAAGTGAAAGGGTTTACCTATTTCAAGAAGAAACGGCAAGCAATCATGAGCTGGAGAGAGGGCTTTACAAATGCTCGGGGGAACCAGAACCCGATCGTGTACATTGAGGACTCAACTCGTCGTCCCCATAATGGTTGCCGACTTCCTAAGAGGCGTCGCGTATAAGCGATTCTCATAATGTTGTTAGAATGTTAGATTGTCTAATTGTCAAAGTGGAGCCATACACTTCTTGGTCTTGGGACGGGCAAGGTGATGTCCATCTTGGAAAATAATCTCGAGCTGTTCCGTTATGGATTTCAAAGTAATGGTTGATTACAATGACATTAATTTTCTGTGCATTGTTATGATAATCATGACGGTTTTATGGCTTAGTTCGCCGAGGCAAATCTTACTATATTTTCCTAATTTGGCTGGAAGGAACTTATTTAGAGTTACTGAATGAGAGGGCCAGTCCTATGTCCTCACAGCTTGTACATTTTTGCATCTTCTGAAGCTATATGATTTACTGCAATGTATAAGTTATGCTTTTGTGATTTCAATCTCTCCAGCAACTTTTCTGGGCGATTTTTATTTTGATTCTGCATAACATTTTGAGAGAAATCTCGTGGAAGTTGAGGTTTGCTTTTTCTTGATCAGTAAAAAGTCAAAGAGCTTTCCACTTTTTGCTTTTATTGTTTCGGTACTTTTTAGAGGCTGTGATCTAATATTAGTTGCTAAGCAAATTCAACATGATGTCTTCGTCTATGTTGTTTCTACCGGTATCATAGGCCTCTTTGATTCTGTTGGTGCGGCCTCAGCTAGGTGCATTAAGAAAACAGTGTTGAGCCAGCAAGATGACTACAAGATTGATCCACAGGTGAATATCGAAATGTTATTCGCGGACGATCTCATGATATTGGCACAATGTCAAAGTCCCATTGCCACGATGTCATGATATTGAAAACTATAAAAATGTGAGGAGTGGCATGAGCATTTGATCTTAGTTCTGATTCCGCGCATATTCCCCCTTAATGGTGACAGCCATGGAATGGCAGCACAATTAAATTAAGTTAGAAAGCGCTCTATTTTCATTCTTTAAATGTATTCGTAGATTGCAATGCATGCATGTGAATGCTTTCGATGAATGGTATCAGAGTTCAATGCCTTCATATAAAATTAGGTAGAGAAAATATTACTATCGTTTCGTCCTTCCAATTTGAATGTCTCGATCTGCCCTCGCATCCAAAGGGATTTAACGGACAATTACTTTTGTTTCCATCATTCTGTTCTGGCTGATCTGGGCTGGTTAGTTGCTGATCTATAAGGGCTTACAAAGCTTGTGCATGAGCAGCGGAATGCAGTGTCTATGGTTTATTGGTGTTATTCTTGATGATACCAAAATGAAGTTCCAGCAGTTCATAGCCTAGAGCTCCTCAATTATTCTTACCCTTTCCCCTCGTTTAATTATCAATAAATGTTTGTCGATGAGTGGCCGCATCTTGAACTTTGTCGCTGCTTTGTCACCATCTTCTTCGAAAGGACTATAGACGGATCAACTTGCCAAATCCTCCATTGGACTAGTTGTTGATGAAGGAATGTAGGGGCAAGAGACTTGTCCTCGCGATGATCATTTATGTTGTTTCGAAATGGCGAACCATTTAGATTATGGAGTCTCGAACGTTGGCGTTTGTGTGTTGAGTTAGACCAGATGATTCTTCCTAGGTTCTGGTTACTCTCCTTTTGCCTCTAGACGGAGCTCCTTCGGCTTGCGACATCATCAGACCGAGAGCATGCAAATTTGTTGATTTAGATGTGGCTTGGGCAATCCTATCATGGCTTCCCTTCCATGAGCATTTGCACTGGAAAACCAACACGAGGCATAATAAGCTGAACTAACACTGCCATAATGATCTCCACAAGATATTTATAAAACTACATCAATGATTCTTAAAATTTTTCTGATACTCCACGAGATGGTCGCCGGACCTCGCGGCGGCGTGTAGGGCCTCGCCGGAACGCGAAGAAGCTGAACTCTGATGAATCGCCATGCTCGCTCCTTGATCTCCAAGATCTTCCATTCGAACCAGAGCTCGCATCTTCTTCGTCTCCTCTTTTTCAACGTCGTCATGGTCTCACCACGATCTCGCATTCCTCAGGCAAGTGGCTTTTCTTTCTCTCTTTTTTTTTTTCTCATTTTTGGGGTTCGTCCGTGGTGCTAGCTTGATTCTGCGAGAATCATTACGGAAGCACCTCGAACTAGTACTGCTTGATGAGATGCCTCGGTTTGCCTTACTCAAAATCATTGCTTGACACTTCGAATTTGGATTTTTCGTTTGCCATTTAGCTGCTGCAATTCAAAACTATAGTGGGACTTTAAGAATAATTGGATTCTTGGTTCATGTTGGATTTCATCGTGCTTCTTCATGCTTTCCGCGCACGTTTTGCTGAATTTGCCATCAACTGGTCGTTATATATTCGAATGTTTAGGTTTGTATCTCCATTTCGTCGTTTTGCTCCGATCATTTGGAGAAAAATTGCTGAATGTTGTTTGTGACTAGAGATATCGACAAGTTTATGTTTGGAGGCCATGGTAATTAAGCAAGGAATGATGGACCCTTTTCGTTTTAGCAGGATCTGCCAAGACAGGTGAAGTCATTTCTCCACGTATGAATGATGTTTCGATGATAAAGATGTATGGAAGTGCATGTCAAGCTTCCAAAGTTTATAAGGTCAATAATTTAAGGATACGTATGGTTAATCCTTCCCATTCGAGCTTGACGAGATTCATCCACACTTCAACTCAAAAGGATGTTGAGAACGAATCTAGAGAGAAGCTCCGAGAGATAATGGAAATTGCTTCCATTGCTTGGATGATGAAAATGAGAAGGAGGGCACCCTATTTAGTGGCCGATATCGCATCGTCCTACGCACCAACCACTGCATTTATGAATACGATGCAATTACTGAATCGCCCGTCCCTGGGGTGGTTCTAGAAGCTCTATTAGGGTTTTGGACTAGTCTTTGTTGATGCATGAAAACCTTTTGACCGTGACACTTGCCTCCTGCGTTGGCAGGGTGAATCTCCCCGGTTGTTGGATCGGTTTCGCGCTCCATCTTTGCCTTGTATCTGGTTCCCTCCACGGTCATCGACGAACTCTTGAAATTTATCTTTATCTTTCGTATAGTCATTGGACAATGGTTCAACACTGTTTTGATGAATTTCTTGATCAGGGCCATGACGAATTTTTAAATGCTTAGTCAGGAACGGGTCTAGATTTTTCGGGCTTGTGTAACACGAGCTCTTTCTAGTTGAACGCCGGTCAAGAGGGTCACTTAATAAGTTCAGAATTTGGAAGTTCAAGTAGAAGGTGAGCCGACCTGGTGTATTTAGGGAAGGTCTCATCGGCACAAGACAAGCATCGACTCACTCATTGAAAATGAACCACGAAATGACCTGGTTTTCTGACAAAAACTGATTTCAACCACAGGAAGAAGACAACCTCATTGAACTCGAACAATTACCGTTCGGTCGAGCTTATGCTGGGTTCCCATAGTTTCTTTGCCAGTTCTGCATCTTGAGCGCAAGAGCTTGGTCTGGCCTTATTGCTGTGAATGAAGCATTCGCCGCTGCCTCCCTCAATTCACGGTTGCAGGGCCACATAGCAAGTCGCTGCCATCTCCTTGTACCCATTTTGATTAGTTAGTAAAACGTTCCACCAAGATGATCTCCTTGAAAAAATAGAAGGCTTCTTCATGTTCTAGGAAAATTATCCTACAGTCAGATTATATCTATATCAAAACTATCGAACCTGTGCAGTATTTTGGACAGGAATTTCCCAAGACTAATAGCAATTCCTGCATAAGCCAGAGAAGTGGTAACACTAGTCTCAAAAGAAGAAAGACATTTTCATAATGAGTAAAAAAAAGAAGACATTTCATCAAGTTATGGCATGCTAATGTTAACTTTGTCAAAGAGCGAAATCTAAATGTGCTTTCGCAGAACAATTTGTTTACCAGATATTTTAGCACTATATTCACACCAATTTCCCTTTGGCAACTTGGTTTTCTGTGATTCCCATATCATTGGTGGAAAAATTTGAATGTCTTCAGATATACCAAGAACAACTAATCAAGAAGTAATGGTACAGACAATAGGTACTACTGCAGTCTGCAGCATCCACAAACAGTAATACACTCCTTCCATCATCTCCTATTTCACCAATTATGTGTTCAGAGAAATTCGAGAATGAGTATGGACTTTCCAACATGTTTAACTTGAATGCTCGTCTCAGTGAAACTTCTTCATATCTAGTTCAGGAACAACTTGGTTTTCACTAAAAGAATAACAGACAATCTGTTCGAGCAGAACCCTTCTATTTAGGATTGGTCAGGCTTATGCTGAAATCCCATAGTTTCTTCCCCAGTTCTGCATCTTGCGCGAGAGAGGTTGCTTTGGCTTTATTACTGTCCATGAAGTATTCGCCACTGACCCCTTTCACTTGTGGGTGCAGAGCCACGTAGCATGTAGTTGCCGCTCCCTGTGTTCATTTTTATTGAGCAACCAAATTCAGTGAGTAACACGGATTAAAGGGCTTGTATGTAAGGGAAATTTTGTCGGGGCTGACTGCAGGCGTATGCAAAAATTGGCATACCTGTGGAACATTTTTTAGGAACAATTTTCCAAGAGAAGCAAGTACTGCATAAGTCAGAGGAAAGAAAGCATTGATAAGAAACAAGAAGTTTTAAAATGGATGGAAGCGAGTACTTTGACCTATTATTATATCTGAAAGTCAAAATATCGAAAAGCATAATCTGTTTGCTCAATTGAGAACAAGCCTCTCCTTTAAGTCCTTCATATAACAAGTTTGCACGCAGCACAAAATTTTATCATGATGCCACGACGCCTTTCTTAGCCATTGCATCAATAATGCTACTCGCTCTACAAGTAGACTTACCATTGAGAATGCTACTGTGGCGAAAAAGATTGGTCGCTATACCTCCAGGATGAAGTGAATTAGCAGTTATCTGCACCCCTTCTTCCTGTTCGATTAAGAAAATTCAATTTACAGCTTAATATTCAAGAATATGAGAGGGAATGAGCCATGGAAATTGACACTGAACAAAGAAAATCTCAAGAAAGTATAAAGGGCATCCCAGTGCATGGGGCTTCCGTATTGAAGGGTCTAAGGAGGGTAAGTATACAGAACATGAAACACTATAGCAGAAAACAAGTAGAATCAGAGTCACGTAACATGTATGGTCACTTCCAAATTTAATGACAGAGTCTTTAGGACGAGAAAAAACAAAAACAAGCATTCTTGTTATGCAAATGCGCTTTAAAAGAATAGAATATATAAGAATGAACCTCACCTTTGAGCGCCTTGCAAGCTCGTTAGCATGTAATATGTTCGCGAGCTTCGACTGTCCATAGGCTTGCATACTACTGTACCTGCAATTAGCAGGTTCTTGTAAGACATCAACAAAATCCAACTTGAATAAAATGGATGCACCAGACTGAAAAAATCACTGCTGTAGTCTGAAAATTTAAGGAAACAAAGAATCATCCTTCAGATAGAGCCATCTTTTCTTACTCTGATTCGTTATTGATTTTATCAAAACGAATTCCTTCACGGTATGCAAAGCGGTGCCCCTCTGAGGACAGATTAACTATCCTTCCTTCTGTATTGCTTTCCCGTGACGTTTTCTTCATCGTCTCCAACAAAAGATTTGTCAGAAGAAAATGACCTGGAAAAACATTTCAGGAGAAGGTAAGCCATATGACACGCACACAACTTTGCAAAGACTGGTGTAACAAGGATTGTTATACAAGTTCCTCAACAGTATCAAAAACTATAAAAATCAATGCTAATGTAAGTTAATCAATTGATCTAGAGTTCGAGAATTGATGCTTTGAAAAAATAACTCATATAATCTAATAAAAGATGATGTCGGTTATGGAAATTTGCAAGTGAAACCTATATAGGACATACCTATATGGTTTGTTGCAAACTGTAGTTCTGTGTTGTCCTGGGAAAGCGTGAAGGGGCAAGCCATTACCCCTGCATTATTACTTCCAAAGAGAAGAAACATTACCATTCTGCATTCCTAACACGTAATCCAACAAATGCTCAACTCAAGCTCAAATCATCAGGAGCATGTGCGCACTCAAATTCGTAAAGTGTGAAATTGAAAAGCACTGACCATATGACTCCTCGTTCAGCATTTGCTAGATGGAAGTCATGAGAAATTAAGGGACAATTTTTTTAATGTTCAGGCCCATAACACATTTTGGTGAAATGATTAAGATTTCTTACATAAGGAGATTCAAGGGAAGAGCAGATGCTTGATAATCCGACGCGAATTTCCTAACAGATGCCATAGAGCTGAGATCCAACTCCATCACATCAATTTTAGCAGATGGGAGTTCCTTAAGTATAGCTTCTTTGACACTCCTACCAGCATCCACGTTCCTCACGGCCATAACTACATGGACTCCACGTAATGCAAGAACTCTTGTAGTCTCCATGCCAATGCCACTAGAGGCACCTGAAAGCATAGCGATCCTCTGTAAAATTGAAGTAACTAGAAAGAATAGGGTTTAGCATCTCAAGTCAGATCGACACAGAGCTATGAAGGTCGTCATGAATTAACGGTCAATACTCGCTTCAGACAGGAAATAACTCATACCCTGAAAGCAATTAGAGAAGTCGGTGTCATCAACAAGCACATCTAGGTATTTACCCTACCAAACCCGCAAACGCAAAATGACATAATCTTCATTTAAAATATTTCAATAAGTGGAACGCCTGGACAATTCAACACGTGATCTAGTAATTGAGAATGAAATGATTGGTCTATTTGGGAAAAGTAACAGCATAACCAAAACACGTTGATCAGACAATTACTGAAAATTTCATTTGCGCCACCCAGGTTAGATATCAAGCTATGAACCAAGACCATCTCAAATCAGCCCTAATGCAACCAATCATAATTTTCTCCTAAATGATCTGCATCCATCGGTTGCAACATCTCAATCCATACTAGACAAACGGTTTGTATCAACCTAATAACATTCCCCAAGCATTCCACCCCCAGTACCAGTAATTCGCCATAAACCCTTCCAAGGAAGCATGATCGAGATTGTTAGAACTTATTAAAGTTTGCATTTTTAATCGACCATCTTCCTCAAGAAAGGTGGAATAAGACGCCCCATCCAAACCCGCCCACATAAGAATGGAATAAGACGGGCGCCATGAAATTGACCGGTGGCGGACGTCCTCTTTCTTTCCGACCCATCCTTTCCTGGCGCGCCTATGAAAGGAAGCTCAAGAAAGGACGACAGACCTGTCACAATGGCAGTGAGACCTGTTCCATCTATTCCCTGAGTGACTTCTTCAGCCGTTGAGCGAGCAGAGAACCCAGAAGGCCCTTTCCACCCAATAATCCACATCTCTTTTTTCTTTTCCTTCTTTTTGCTCTTCCCCTCGTAACTGCGGAATTCAAGAAACTACACGACAGTTATTGGCTGAGTTACTTCACGGACAAGAGGCAAAGGTATATCACAGGAGAAAAGAGGCAGAGATGGGTATCAGAACAGAAACAGAACGAGGGTGTCATCGTACTGCCGGAAATCGTAGGATCTCTGAGCCGGAGGTACGGTGTCCGACTAAAAAGTGGCAACGACCAGATCAAGAATGTTTTGTCCTGGAGCGGGCCCGCGATTGTTATGGTTTTGATGGAGAAATTTGGTATCTTTTTGCTTGGAAGGACGATGGCCCTTAACGAGAAATGCCAAAAATATACCCGTCTATATATGGGTATGCAACCATGAATCCGACATAAAGATTAGTCCAAAGACTCCTAGATTAGTATGGTCACGATGAGCGAAATTACTATTCACGGAATAGATTTCGATAAGAAATAAAACTTTCATTATATTTCTTGATTCAAATTTGACGTTCGAACATGATGTGAGCTACTCATTTATCTTCATTTTTTGTCATAATAAAATGGGCGAAAGCCTTTAAAGATTAGATATCGTAGGCTCCAGAATGGGAAACTCTAAACTCTATCACCTAACAGGAACAGACTGAGGTTTGGAAATTGAATCGACAAAAATTCTATGGAAGATCTATAATTGAGGCCATAATGTGCTAACAACTAACAACTTGCACTTTGGTCGCCGTCTTTATACACATGCTCCAAGCTTCATTATGATAAATCGATTTTGTTCGAAAGAGATCCTGAATATTTTTATGAATTGAATCATAACTGTGAGATCCCTTAGTCGTCTCATAGGAATAAGCAATACAAATTTATTTATTACCAATAGAGAAAAAAAAAACAAAAGTAACAAAAAGAAAGCTATATTCCAATTATATTGCTTTAGAGCGGTGCTAATATGCTTTACCATTGATTAATGTGCTAAATTATGTTTCTTATTTAATATCATTCAATATTTACTGATCACTTCAATACCCCAATCCGCACACCTTCACGCCTCCTGTGTACTCTCCTTCTTTGCAAATAAGAGTGTCGAGAAAAACATTGACAAAGATACCTGCACGTTTCCATTGCTGAGACTCTTTTACATGATTAATTATTATCTATATTTATCGATATTTTATATGTAAATAAGTGAAAAATGACCGTTTGAGTAACTAACAGATTAGGATGAAAACATTCTTATGGCAATTACAAACTATTGCCTGAGATTTTCCTACGGGGCAAGTATTTGTTGTTTCTTTTTGGGTCCATTTTTCTATTCAAGCAATTAATTGACATTCTGCAAATGATTGTTTCTTTTTTCGGCCAGAACATTCCATTCCATTCGCTGTCGAGTCGATGTATCTAAGGTTGTTTTTTTCTTTTTGTAATGCCCTGATATGCACGTTTATAAGATAAAATAATAATAATCCATTCATAATCTGTCACAAACAGGAATATGAAAGTAGGTCCATAATTTACACCATAGGTTCCACACCTTAAAGACCAACCAGATAAAAGCCAAGAAGTGGGAAAAGAGGATGGAATGATGAAGAGATGTTTCGATTCAAAATTAAGAGGAGAAGAAGAGGAGACTCTCTAGGCCCTGGCCTTGAAAGGGATGGCCCTGATGATTAGCTGGTGGTACACTGCAGCTAGTGCAGCTCCAATGAAGGGTCCAACCCAAAAGATCCACTGCAACCAAAAACAAACGGTGTTTAAAGTTGGAAAAGAAAGACGAGAGAGTGATAATGATGCTTGTTCACCAAGAAAAGGATTGGACATGTGGCACATTGCATCGAGAAAAAGGATACCTGATCATCCCATGCATGGCCCTTGTTGTAGATGATGGCAGCTCCAAGGCTCCTGGCGGGGTTGATGCTGGTTCCTGTGATGGGGATGGTTGCCAAATGAACCAAGAACACTGCGAAGCCGATGGGAAGAGGAGCCAAAATCTGCAAGAGGATGGGTGAAAAGGCAAATCTGATTAGCACGTGTGTGGGGAGGCAAGCCCGAGTGGAGGTCAACCGGAACATTGCACGAAATTTAATACCACCATATAATAAACTTCAGAACGTACATGAGATTATTTAGAGCGACGGAAAACAAAAGATACGAATCAATTAGATCACGTGGAAGCAAAGCAAAACTTTCTGCTAACAATTGGGTTAGAACTGGAGGATCTCGGAGAAATTTCTAGAGAAGCTAACTGTGAAGTTAAGCTCGAAATTAGTAATGATTTCACTTGTTTTGGCCTTGAGAAATGTAAAAGAAATAGCAGGTTTATGAAAGGGATGTTGAGGGATATGCATCTGCTTTCCAGAGCAAAATAAGCTCCTTTTGCACATCAAGCTCCTCTCGCATTAGGAGGAGGATTGGAACCTTTTGTCTACTGCTTCCGATTTCTTTCATTAAGTCTCAAAACATCAATAATCGAATTGATTATCTTTGTCAAGATTGGACAATGATGAGCAGAATACCAAAATTTAAAGAGATTAAAAACAGCACACTTGAAAAGTGCAAACACACTAATTGCCATTATAATGAGGTAAGGATTAGGAAACAAACAATGGGATATTTTAACATGCATCGTTAAGTTTAAGATGGCGAATATTCCATAACATGGTCCGGTCTGCTGCATTTCTCGATATTAGAAGGAGAAAACCAAAAGGTTTTTTATGTACCTAAGGCCAATTATGTGATCAACAACCACCTCAAATGTAATCAATCTAAGGCCATATATCTACCTGCCTGGCACGTTAGCAAAATAATTGGAACACCCACCTCAGAATTAATTAATCTAAGATTGAAACCTAAAGCTAATGATCACTTTTTTGGCCACCCTAATTTCCTCAACACTTCAGTTGAGTGAAAAACACATTAATGTAGCCAGAGGCATCTCGAGAATGCTTTAAATGATACACAGAGACGGTGAACTCAATCAAGCACAGTGCACAAATCATGTGAATGCAACTTATTCCTCAAAATAATTCTTTCATCAAGCATTCAATATTCTTAATGCAACGTCTAGGATCACAAAGCCAACAAGAACTCACAATGAAAATTGACATGTCAAAAACTAAGTCTTTCAAGAGTTCAAAGCAATTCATAAACTTTAGATTAGAAGCAAAAGAGAGACAAACACATACAGGAACATGGGAGTCTCTGGCATTTCTCTTGGCATCGGTGGCAGAGAAGACGGTGTAAACAAGCACAAACGTGCCGATAATCTCAGCACCAAGGCCATCACCCTTGGTGTACCCATGGCTCACAGAGTTGGCTCCACCTCCGAGCAGCTCATACCTGGAGTCGCCTTGCAAGCCCTTGACCACACCAGCTCCACAGATAGCACCAAGGCACTGCATGATGATGTAGAACACTGCCCTAGTGAGGGACAACTTCCTTGCCAAGAACAGGCCAAAGGTCACTGCCGGGTTAATGTGTCCACCTGTATCAATCAATCAAAAAAACACCCAAGTACACGGATTCTTAGATCAAAGGTCTCTCTTTTATTGCCAGATCTATACTTATCATAAAAGAAGAAGAACACACAACTAAGTAGCCCACAAATGGCATAAAAAAGGGAACTTTTTTGTTGGGCTTAATTATCGAATTGCATTGGCTAAGCTGATGAGTTAATGAATGTATACGCCTGTATCAATCAAGGACCTCCCAACACACGTATGCTTTTAGCCAAAGGTCTCTCTTTAATGACTAGATCTACAATTGCGTAAAACAAGGAGATCGTAACTATTTTGCCCACATATAGCATAAAAAAGCGAACTTTCTTTCTTGGGCTAAATCCTTGCATTGGCTCAAAACATGTCAAGAGAGGCTCTAACCTGAGATACCAGCAGTGCAGTACACGAGGGCAAAGATCATGCCACCGAAGGCCCAAGCAATGCCCTGAATGCCCACACTGGCACACTTGGTCTTGCTCTGAGACACACCCATCACAGTCAAGATGGTGATATAGAGGAACAAGAAGGTGGCCACAAACTCTGCAATCCCAGCCCTGTAGAAGGACCATGACTGGAGCTCTCCAGGCTCAAAGAGTGGTGCTGGTGGTGGCTCCTTGTAGTCCTTGTCTGTCTGAGCAGCCGTCCCAATGGGTTGCCTCTCAGAGTACTTGTTGGCTCCAAGCTTCACATCTTCTTCTTTACCCTCCATTATCTCTCTCTCTCTCTCTCTCTCTCTCTCTCTCTCTCTCCTCTCACTCAGAATGCTCAAGAATGAACAATGCTTGTGAAGATTGGAGTGAGTGCAGCAAAAGGTGGTGAAGTAGCGAGGGTGGCGAAGGATAAAAGGGTAAGATTTATAGAAAGATGGAATGTCTTATCTGCACAACAAAGTGGGTAGGCTATTATTGTTTTCCATTTCTTTGCACTATTTTTCTGGTAAAGAAAGGAACTTGATCATAATCATGTGTTACCCTACCCCCCCAAAAAACAAACAATAATTGTGTAGCACTATAGGAATTTGAACTCCAAAGTAAAGCTTAGGAATTGAAAAAGCAACGAGGATTAGAGGCGGAGCACAGTTCTGCAGAGACAGAGAGACAGAGAGACAGAGAGATGATGACATGGATTGGTCTGCGGTTGGTGCCATGGTTGTCCGGTTCTTATCTTCTACAGTTACTCAAAATGATTTATTTTATTTGTCCTTTTAGTATTTATTAAAGGGTTAAAATTCTCTGTCAGTGGAATTGGCCGGTGAGTCCAGCCCATCCATACTGCCTCTTCTAATCATAAGAGGAAGAACATTGTCGTTCTCTCCTCATGCAGACCGAAAAGGCCAACAAAAAATGAGCATTATTCATCGGTAAAATGAGAATTAATAGACTATATACACTCGTTGGACTCGTATCGAAAATGATATCGAGATCTCTCGGTTATTCTTTGTCAGAGAAATTTTCTCAATTCTAAAATATTTTCAAATGATTCGATCTCGTCATTTTAAATCGCACATTTTCATTTTTCTTTTACGTCGTGAAGCAAATTTGAACGTTATTCAACAATGCTTGTGTTTGTCTTCATAAATTTATTTTGTAGAGTATCCCAAAAAATTAATAAATTTTTACATAAATTATTATGGGAGAAAGTCCGCTCCTCCCTTGGGTGGGTGACCGTTTAGTGCAAAAAGTGAGGGCCCGACCCGAGGAAGCACATGGAGAGCGGGCAACGGCTAACCCGGTTCATGATTGCACCGAAATTACACTCCTGTCCCTGCCGCCAACTGTGTAGGCGAGTCGGTGGGCTCCACTTTCAACGGTATAATTGGGTACGGATGATCCGACACGTCGTTCCCACCGCATGAGAACGGACCAATTAGGTGAGCTCGAGCTTGGACCTTGGTTCGGCGGTTCCGTTTGTTTCGCGAAAAATAAATAATTTGAAGAATTAACATCACGAAACACCTCAAATTGGTATGTTTGTGACGAATTTACCACAAACTAATTTTTTAACCACAAAAAACCTTAAATTGATACATCTGTGACAATTTTACCCTATTTTAGTTTCTATTAAATCTTACCGTCAAAATTTTGAATTAGATGACACGTGGCAATTGACGAGTGTACCGGTTTGGGATTTTACTCTCCATTTGTGTATACTAGTTTGTGATTTTTCATGATATTAATTCAATTTAATGGAGGGTAAATTTATCATAAATATACCAGTTTGAGATTTTTGGTGGTCAAAAAATTAGATTTAATAAATTTGTCACAGCTGTACCAGTTTAGGGTTTTTCGTGATCTAAAAATTAGTTTATGGTCAATTTATCACAGGTGTACCAATCTGGAATTTTTCGTGGTATTAACCCTAATCTGAAAAATATTTTCCTAAAAATAATCGCTTGTTTATATCGCATACAAAAATGAACACATGAAAAATATTTTCATCGTCCAATAATATATTTAAATATAAATTATTGTCGATAATAAAAGCATTTTTCATTGATTAAATATTTCAATTAATATAAATGATCATTTATAGGAAAATATTTTCAAAATCATCCATTTTTTGTGAAACAAACGAAGCCTAAACCTCCTTCGTGAGGTATCCAGTGTCGTGTGAATTTTATGTCCGGATTGTGTACTCTATTAGACACGATTGCAAAAAAATTTAAGACTTTAAGCGCGAAATTACTAGATCTCGAGCATATGGAAGCCACTGCTAACATAGACGGACTTATAAATACCATCCAATTTTCCAAAATATTGAAATAGGTAAGGGTCTTTGTGTGATGCTAAATAACTTTAGGCCCCCATTGAGTTCGTCGAAAATTTTATTGGTAAGCCAAAAATTGAACATTTTCATTTCAATTCGACCTCGCAAATAAGCAACACCCTCATACGTTAAAAAAGATTACAAACATGTGCTTTCTTTTAATAAATAAAGCTACATTATATTTTTTTTTCGGACTTCTTAAGCGTAGGAATACTACTTTCGTTACAAAAACGAGTATGCTTGATTTGCTCTTAATCATTTATTAATTTTTTTGTCCCCAGTAAAGAAAATTTCTAGATCCCTCCCTTTATTGAGCATAATGGAACCAAGGTCTATATGGTTTAAGGAAGAAATTCGAAAAGGGAAAGTAGGTAGTGATCTCAAATATGCTATAGCCAATCACTTTTGATGGTTCAACATGATCCGCGAACAACATTTTCTCTTTTTTTATGGCCAAGAGTCACGAACAAGATTGGATTAGCTTAGGTCATTTTGAAAGGGGAAAAGAAAAAATGGGTGGGACCACATTTTCCGATTCAAGGGCAACATTACCTTTACCTTATTCTTTTCCATCATTATTATCTGGTTCTCCAATGTATAAACAAGAGGGAGGGCTTTACCAAAAAAAAAAAAACAAGAGGGAGGGAATCGATGATAATGCGTTACAGCTCAGAGGCATAGGATACCCACCTGGCTTCTCGGCCCCCCCCAAATCACATGCACAGCCCCTTTAGCCCCCCACCATGATGCACTGCAGCTTTTCTGGCCAAATGGTTGTGGCCCTCCTGAAGAAAATTGTAAGGATTTCTGATGACTTGACGAGTATATTTAGTAAGAAATGGTTGGATTTGAAAATGTTGATCATGCATGTAAGGAGAGAACTAATGCTGTAAGAAGTTTTGGTTTTGTACTTCCCAGATATGGTGGTTGAGGGTTTTTGTTTAACGAAGGATGATGAACTATACAAGGGAATTCGCTAATGAACGCAAAAAGGAAAAGAAGGAAGAAAGCATCCGCCTTTCTTGTGGGGTAGGCCTGCAATTTTCCAAAGCACTATAACTTAGGTAGCGTGATTCATTGACTTAATCCCCACCCGACCAACAAGATGAACCTACAGAGTCGCCATCATGGGGAACCCCTTTTCTTAGATCCTACTCTTGTGTTTGTGTCATGGGTCGTAAAATGATGAGCGCAAGCGGGAGTGATTTTGAGACCGCAAACATATGTTAATACAAGGGATTGTCTCTTCAGGCTTGGTCGACACCACTGTTGGTTACAAAACTAGAACCAATTCAATTCCCTGACCAACACCGCATGGCTGTTAACCTTCCTGTTCAAATTGGGCAACGATGTCAGTTTTCTTACCCTCCGCGAGCAATTTAACGTGGGAGGATGATTGGAGAGTCGATCTCGCTCTTCCAAGAGCCCAAACTGGAAAGTACAGGACACCTTCAGATTCCCTTTCCTAAAGCATCATCGTCGGCATAGGAAGTGAGAACTTGGCTTTGATGGGGAGGCTCAATTGCAAAATTGTCTTTAATGAAACACAGAGAAGATGGTGAGCACATCATTGTCATGTGCATACAATTGACACAGCAAGCGAAGGTCTCAACACAACGGGGATCTTGCCTATCCATAGCCAGAGTTAGCAATCACAGAGCCTACAAGTTACACGTAGTACTGAATAGTATCGCTCTAAACAGTGATAACAATACTGCGTATACAACATGTTGAGTCTCCATACAGGGGTTAGTAGTCGTTCGCACATCTAATACAGTCTTAGATGGCTCTAAGTCTTAAAGCAGAAGTAGGTACAGGATATGGAGGAGATAGATTTGTCAACTGACTTTCACTTTGTTTCGAGCCGATGGTAGCAATCTTGTTCTTGCATACAACTTCATCATCTCGCAGTAAGCATCTGAGAAGCATTTTTCTACCACATAATTCTCAGTTACGGAAATTAACTTCACCTGACGTGCAATTCCAAGCTCCAATCTTATTTATCTTGATCCAGTTCCTGGCTAGAATGAAGTCGCACATGTGGACAGGGTCTCTCTGGTTCTCCTCTGGTCCATAGTACCTTTAGATCGCCTCGTCTCCTTCCCAATGCTAAAAAGGTACCTGCAGTAATGCACAAATCTCCCAGTTCGTAAAGAGTTCTGTCAATTGGCATTGATACACGCTTTAATTAGGTTTGCACAAGGAAATTACCGAGCGTAAATGGAACAATGTAAAGCAAGGCAGGTTGCCCATGCCCATCCATCAAATTCAATGCCACGTAAGTTACAAGAAGACCTGCAGTCGGTTGTGCGGCAGAAAATAGTTATAAAAACAGTCATATTCACAAGAAATGGGAAAATACTCTTATATTCCCTATCTTTCCATTTAGTAATTTTCTCTTACCTAATCCATAAGCAAGCATTGCCCACAAGAAGTATCCAGCTCGAAGATTCTTATTTGCCAGCCAATCATATCTGCAGATAGTACATTATTGCAAAATCCAATTGTAGACAGACAGCAATTTACCAAGATATCGATTTGATCGTGCTTCCGCCAGTTACAAAAATGAATACATGTCAAAAGTAAGTGAGAGCTTATTCAAGCTATATATTTTACTTATACAGCATAACTGAATCTGATCCAAGCCAAAGGAAATGGGTAAACCTGAGAGAAAATGCTACCACCAGTCCTGGCAAAAGAATGTCCCCAAATCCTATGATGCTATAACCACCCCATGGATCGAACATTCTGGGGATCTTTAACAGCATTGGAATTCCATCCTCTCCACTTTTATCACCGCGAGCTACCTATGGAATTGCAATCAAAAGATTATCGACATTGTTTAACTCTAAAGAAAAGGCACTTTTAACCTTTGACTTAATGATTAGTAAGAACACTCACCACAATCATCACACTTTCGTGGAACAGCTTCTTTGAAACGAACACCCAGAAAATGTCATACAAGAAAGCACAGCTTAGAAGAACTGTTCCCACCTGATGGAGGAAACAAGAAAAGTCACGTGAGAGAGAGAGTTTCTCCAATATCCAGGATATTGGCCCTATACAGTTAACTCACTCAGAAAACAAACATAGTAAACTACCTAGTACAAGGTTT